ATAAAACTACAAAAACACAGATAAGATTCTTGCCTAAATCTTTATCACTTTGCAGTTTATTATTTTAATTACTTTATCATAAATCTTTTTTAAAATTTCATTAACATTTAGAGGATTTTACAAGTAAAATTTTTTTAAGGAAATTATCCAATAAAATTCGAATATGAGAGTACATGACAGAGAAAACATAATTCAAGCATGTTAGATTCATACTTTCCAAATAATGCTCTCAGTATAATTAACTAGCATTTAAAAAAAAGTGTTTGCTTTGCTAAATTAGTTTATATTTTACTAACTAGAAATGGGAATAAAGTGTCGCTGCTGACATTCAAGTTTGAACATAGATCACCAATGAGCAAACACAGGTGATCCCATTATTGAATTAAGTCAACCATGTGACTATAAAGAAAATGCATTAGTAGGAAGTTGCATGACGTCTAACTGATCTGAATTTCTAGTGTATCCTCTATTACTATACGGACTGCTATTCTATAATCTATTCACTACACTATTTCTCTATTTGGTGGTTACTATTCGAGCAAGTATCATTGAGCAAGTACTATTAGTGCATTATTCAGAGGTGTCTGACATCAATATTGTTCAATGGGATACATACAGCAAATAGACTGCAGCGCTGGCAACTATCCTATTGAACTATAATTATAAAATGGAATTTCTACCATCCAAAAAATTAAGTCATGCAAACGGATTGTCTAAACTAATACCAAGATTCTGCGAACCACTTGAAGATACAGTAATTGTGGCAATAAGATTTCTAAAAAAATAAAATTAATACTGTAAAAGAACTGCCAATAACATGGAGGAAATCAGAGTTAAGTCAGAAAAAGATGACTTTATAATGAAAATGAAGAAGCAATTAAGATTTAAAGGAAGAAATATTACTGGAAATAATGCATTTTCATTATGTAATAATGTACTTATGTATGCAAAAAGAATTGTGATACCAGCATTGTTGCAAAAATGTATCCTAAAGGAATTTCACATAGGACATCCAGGAATTTCTAGAATGAATTCCTCAATGAGGCGTTATACTCATTGGCCAAAAATGGATCAAGATATGGAAAATTTAGTAAAATCATGCAGAAGTTGTGCTCTGGAAGTGAGGTCACTGCCTATCAAAAATGCATCCTTAGCCGAAAACTGATATGCCATGGCCCAGAATACATATAGACTTTGCAGGACCATTAAACGGAGCATACTATCTGGTGGTAGTTGATAGTTACACTAAATGGCCAGAAACATTAAAATGTAGAAGACCAACTACTGTGGTAACAATCAATTTCCTACACAAGATTTTTGCTAGGTTTAGTGTTCCGGACTCCTACATTTCAGATAACAGGACTCAATTCACGTCTAGTAATTTTAAGTTTTTTGCAAATCATTAGCAATAGAACATATTACAACTCCCCTTATCACCCAAGATCAAACAGATAAGCAGAACAGTTTGTTGATACTTTTGAAAAGGCACTAAAAAGTTGGAGGGAGAGGAGTCAGCTGAAGTAATGCTACAACAATTTTTGAGTGTTTACAGAATAACACCAAACCTGAACACTGTGTCTGGAATGTTGCCTGCAGAGATGATGTTCACCAGGAAGTCCATATTTAACAAATTACTACCAGAATGGAAGACAAGAACATCAAGGAATCAAAATAATATAGATAAATATTTTAAACCTGGTGATAAAGTGTTTTTTAAAATGTACCAACATGGAAAAGAATTCTGACAAGATGGCATTATAAGAAAACGGATTGGCAAAATGACATACATGATACAGGGACAAAGGTGGTAACATAAGTGACATCATAATCAGTTAAAACGGAGATTTACTGATTTAATAAGTCCACAAGAAGAGGTACCAATGAAAATATTGTATGACATGTTTGATGCACACACGTCACCAGAAATTAGTGAACCAAGGAGGTACAGTAAAAGAAAAAGAACTGCAACAGAACATTTGAATATTGAACCAAAGCTAAAGAAACATGGACTCCAGAGGAAGTCATCTCAAAGGGAATAAAGTGTTGCTGCCAACACTTGAGTTTGAACATAGATCGCCAGTGAGCAAACACAGGCAATCCCATTATCGAATTAAGTAGATCATGTGACCATAGAGGAAACATACAAGTAGGAAGTCGTGTGATGTCTAACTGATCTGCATTTCTAGTCTATCCTCTATTTCTATACAGACCACTATTCTCTACTCTATTCACTATACTATTTCTTTATTCAGTGGCTACGATTTGAGTGAGTATTATTGAGCAAGTACTATTAGGGCGAGTGTTATTGGGAGGCATCTGACATTAGTATTGTTCAAAAGTGTACTATAGTTGTATCTGCAATTACTAAGTCTCTACTACAATGAGCAAGACAAAAGTGACAAGTATTCGTTGGTATTACACAAGTGGCAATGAGTGTTGACATCACAAAAAGAAAAAAAAATGTAATTTGAAAAAAAGAAATACAACAGTGAATCAAATTTAGGTATTAAAATTATTTACCTGATTTAACATAATTTCAGTACAACTTTGGAGCAACTAGGGGGAATGAATTTACTATTTACTGGTAATGACATGCAAAACAAGCTTGTTTACCATTATGCCTGAACAAGATGCACTCATATTTACTAAGTGTAGCAGAGTTTTAACACAAGGTCACAATCATGAGTATAACGTTTGAGAATTGGAGTCATTACAAATGATCTGTAAGATCAACTTGATAACCCACATTTAGGTATGTAATAAAAGTTTGCATTTTAAAGATTGAAACAGCTAATTTGTAAGGCGATTTCATTTTTTGTTGCTTGAATCTTTTACTTTGTATGTAATTGGTATTTGCTGACTGAAACAACATGGTTTCTATTAAGCAGCCACTTTTTTGGAAATTGAATACCAATTCATCTTTATTTGAATAAGCCATTGAATGTTGCATACATCTAATATTAACAATAAGAGATTATATATAAGCTTTAAAAAAAATCCTACATTTTTTTTTTAAATTTGTATATTGAATTTACAGCATCCAGTGATCTAATTGTTGGATAATTAAATTACCAACCATGTATATAATCTATAATATATATATTGAATCACCAGCGAACATGCAATGTTGTGTTAGTCCAATCAGTTTATTCATTATAATTTTGTTTCTGTTGACAATCATATATTTTGGTTACATGATTTGTATTGGAGTCTGTCTATACTTCTGAGATGAAGTATTATGTACATTATTTACATTATTCAGACTATTGTCCTCATCTTTGTTCCCATATTTATCACAACGTTTTGGCCGTTGTATGCTCCAGCCTTCTTCAGGTGGTTGGAATTTTGAACTGAACCCTTTATTTCGCTCACTGGACACATGGCACAGTGGATAAAGGCGTTGGTTAGATCCAGTGACAGGACCCAAAGAGTGTGAGTTAATGGTTAAGGCAGTGGAGAACTTTCAGAGGGAAATTAGAAGGAGATAACTGATAACTGACATCTATCAAACATGGCATGTGGAACTAGAACAGTCTACCCCAGTGAGCGAAATGGTTCAGTTCGAAATTCCAACCACCTGAAGAAGGCTGGAGTGTACAACGGCCAAAACATTGTGATAAATATGGCGACAAAGATGAGGACAATAGTCCGAATAATGTAAATAATGATTTGTATTATAGGAATAATCCATAATACATCATCAATTACATTGGCATCAGACATTGAAATGTTAAAAGTCATGGGATAGGTACTTAATATTTTGTAAGCTTGCTCTTGCTCAGCAAAGTGCAGTTAACTCAATGTGGCATTAATTCCACAAATGATTAGAAGACCTTTAGAAAGATACTGAATGATACTGCTTTGATAACTGTCCATAGCTCTCTGATATTTGTAAGTGCAGGATTTCTTGGGCAAATAGACCTCTCCACCATGTACCATTAATGCTTGATTAAGCTCATGTTGGGAAAACATAATGGTCACACCGTTTGTCAAACCAAAGCTAAAAAATGCTGACCTGACCAAACAGATATATCTGGTACTTCCTGCCTTGAATGTGGATGTGATTTCAGCCAGTGTAGGTTGTGACTGTAAAATTCTAGTTAGATGCCCCTGGTAACAATCATTAAAAACATGTGGTTGGCCACTGTTGGCATTCCAACGGGTATTCCAGGTACACGTGACACCACCGATAAATGGACGTCAAATATCCACACAATTTCCAAAAAGGCATATCATATCCATCTGGCATATTCATGACAGCTGATACCACCGACCATTACTTTTACATACTGCTATCCCATTATTTTTGGCACATCACTGTACATAAGGAAATAACTGAATAATTTCAATTTTTTTCTTATTTAAACTTAATGCAGTTAATAAATTTGAACTTCATAAAACTGCATAACTCATTCTCAAGTTTAGAAGCATGTATAACAATTGTTAAAGCTAACATTTTATTTCTTCGCTAATAAAATACATTGAGTAATATTCTGAGCAAAATCTGACTGTATTCATACATGTTTACCAATTGTTGTTTTACAAAGACTAAGTAAAAATATCTATTCCAACAGAAGACATTGTCAATGTTATGAATGTTATCACTATGAAATAATTGGTTATATTAAGCTCAAAATCTTCTTTTGTAAACTGAGAATAATGAACACTAATGCAAAGCTAATTTTATATAATCCTTTATTTAATACTAATTTTAATTATTTCATTTACAGCCCAATTGATTAAATTTAAAGTAAAGCAATTTTTTTTTATTTCTATTTAAGCAAGAAAGTGGATGAATGTACGGTTTCTTATGCAAATATTTTATAAGTTCTTCTCAAAAATATTTTGAAAAAGCAATTTAATGCTCTAAACATTTTTCATGAATGAAACACCAGAATGAATAACAAATCCAAGAGCTTTGTGATGGAATATATCTAGAAATTTTCTAGTTTCTTGTACAAAACATATTTACAGGAAACTAAAGAAAACAACAAACTTACCTTTGTAGAAAATCAGCAATAAGAGCCACCCAGCAACCATCATGACTAAAACCATACTGGAAGAAAAAATCTTTTTTTATTCATCTATTTCATAAAAAGTTCTTGCAGTTAAGTAACCAAAGCAAAGTAACCAGTGCTGTAGTATCACTATTGATACCTTTTCTTGGTTAATGAAACCACAGAGAATACCTTATATACTGTACAATATATTGAGTTGAGTGGCACCAGAGTTGTATTGGAATATGACTTGATAAATGTTTCCCTGCATTGGTTGATTACCATTTATGTTAGTTACTAGCAATGTTGTTCTTAATCATGTTGCAAAACCTGCAGTTTTTACATGCCACTGATGTCCATTTAGAGCAAAGGTATGCCATCATTATGGTTCCAGTATTTACATTAGTCGGACTATTGTCCTCATCTTTGTTGCCATATTTGTCACAATGTTTCGGCCGTTGTATGCTTCGGCCTTCTTCAGGTGGTTGGAACTTCGAACTGAACCCTTTATTTCGATCACTGGGGTAGACTGTTCTAGTTCCACGTGCCATGTTTTGATGGATGTCAGTTATCAGTTATCTCCTGCTAATTTTCCCTCTGAAAGTTCTCCACTGCCTTAACTGGGTATTGAACTCACATTCTTTGGGTCTGTCACTGGATCTAACCATGTGTCCTTGATAGTCCGACTAATGTAAATATTGTACATAATACTTCATCTCAGAAATATAGACAGATTATGGTTCCAATATGCTATATGGTTAAATGATGTTAAATCCTGTCTGAATCCCATGATTTCTATAGGTTCCATACCTCTTTCCTATTCTGTTAGATATTAAGTCATCCTGCTGAATCCATTTCTATAAGTAGAGCTGGAGAAACCATCCTGTTTACTTTTGTATTTCATTTTTTGGGACTTCATATATGAGGTTCACTCAAAAAGTTACAAGTCTCACCCCGAAAGAAGAGCCATAGCTGAAAATTTGACAACACACTATTATTTCTTATAAAACTAGAAAAACTAATACAGATTTCTGTGCAGGTGAGGCCCATGCAAAAGGTGAAAGGTGTGCAACAAATCTAAAATGGAGAAAACAGAGGCCCAAGCATTCAGAAAATATCTGAAAAAGAAAGGTATGACACCCAAAGAAATCCATGAAGACATGGTACAGACACTTGCTGAGAACTCACCTTCCGATGCAACTGTGAAGTAGGCTGTGGAACTCAAGTAGGGTAGGGACAGCAGAGAAGATTACCCTCAGTCAGGTTGTCCAAAATCTTCAACCACTGACAAACAAGTTGATGTCATTCATCCTATGATTTCAAATGACAGATGTCTTACTATCCAGCAAATATTTAAGTCCATAGGCATTAGTTCTGGTTTAGTTCATACTGTTCTAAATGAGATCTTGGAGATGAGCAAACTATCTAAAAGATGGGCCATAAGAATCCCGACACCAGAGTAGAAGCTAAAAAGGGTTGACATTTCAACCAAAGATTAGTAACTCAAGACGAAACCTGGGTTCACCACTTCAAAGCAAACAGTGAAAACACTAGTTCTCCACCCGTGAAGAAGTTCAAGCAGGTAGTGTCTGTTGGCAAGGTGATGGTGTCTGTTTTTTGATTCTGAAGGTGTAATTATCATATGTAAACGCCCCCCACCCCGAGTCCGAGACAGGCCGTATTTATACACTGCCAGTGAAGACTGGTGTTTCTCCATCCCTGGGACTGTCTCACCAATTGTCCTTCTTCTCTACATGTCCCCCCCCCTCCTATGACCGCAATACCTATGTTTCGTGGTCACCTGCCGAGATAATTCCGAGTCGGTCCTCACATTTGTGGGGATAGTGGTCTTGGTGGCATGATGGGGTCAGACTCGCTGGTGTATAGGGTTGGACTGTTGGTTCTCTTCCTGATCCATCTCTGGTTCGTCTGCCATCACTCATTGTCCGCCTCTACGTTCATTATTTCAGGTATGTCATACGGAGATTCGCTGTCCTCTGGCTTTGGCCTTTGGAGAGGTGGTTGAGAGTGTGGGTGATCAGGTGAATAGTCTGGCATATCCACAACTGGCAAGATCTTCCAGAGGAAACGACGATTACGTAGTGTAATTCTGCCGCTTCCGTCTAACCGTATCTGGTATTGCCTGTTGCCCATCGTTTCAACAATTCTCACTGTTTTTGTCCACCGTCATGGATATGGTCCCTCTTGATTTTGCACTCGCACCGATTCACCAACCTGAAGCTCTTGGAGTGGTCAGCAGTGTGTATTGTATTGTTCTTGATTTAGCACATGCCTTTTCGCCATCGCCCTCTCTCTCAATTCCTTGGTTTTCGTCCAGCGTTTATGAATCTGGTGCTTCTCGTGAAGTATGGAGAGGTGATCCTTTATTGCTCGACCGTATAACATCTCCGCTGGTGACAACCTGAGGTCCTGGTGGGGTGTATTCCTATGTGTCATCATGGCTCATGCCGCCCGATCGTGGCGTAGGTGGCCATAACCATCAAGGCAGTCCATCAGCATTCTTTTAGCTGTTTTTACGGCCAGCTTAGCTTGGCCATTGCTCTGGGGATAATGTGCAGACGATATGCGTTTCTTTACACCCCAGTCTCCCAGGAACGACATATTCTAGTGAGTCGAATGATGGCCCTCCATCTGATGATGGTGCACAGAACCAGCCCCTCAATGCATCACATACTGCTGCAGCCTTCCCTGATGGTAGCGGGGCCACTTCAATCCAGCCGGTATATCGGTCTGCGTATACCATATAACTCTTCCCATGCATGTCAAATAGATCTGTGACTGTCTTTTGAAATGGGAATTCTGGGTTTGAGGGTGGCATTAGTGGTTCTCTCGGCTGAGATGGGGCAACAGAATTATATCTTCAGCATTGCGCCCTTGTTTGTCGAATGCTGGCGTCTAAACCGGGCCAAAATAATCGTTGTCTAGTGTTAGCCAATATACCATTCACACCTTGATGTGCGGAGTGCAGTGCCTCCAGTACCTCAGCTCTAAGCTGCTTTGGTATCAGAATTTTGTCCCCCTTTATGGGTACCTCCTCCAAACAATATAATTGGTCTGTCATCGGCCAGAACTGTCGGACTTTCAGCAGTAGTTCGTGGCGTGACCCCGGGAATCCATCCTGTATGTATGTTGCTAACGTTCGACATACCTTGTCGGTGGCTGCGGCCGCCACAATTCTATCCCAGGTTATCGCACGTAGTTTTCATGTGATCATGATCGATGCTTATATGGATTGTGTCAATTGTCTTTGATCTGCAGTGTCCTGGTGGTGTCGGGTATCTGGAGGTGCAGTCAGGTGCAGTGTTAATTTTCCTGGAACGTGTTTAATTTGAAACCTGTACATTAACGACCATTCTTTGAACGTAAACAAACGAGGATTCTTTATGTTTTCAAGGACCTGATCTGAGAATATTTTCACTAGTGGTTGGTGGTCCACCATAACCAGTAAATCTGGGCATCCCAGTAAAAACATCCTGCAAGATTCCAATCCGTATATCAATGCCAGGGCCTCCCCCTCTATAGGAGAATAGCAAGACTCTGCATCCTTTGTACACAAGGAGCCGGCCAAAATTATTTTCCAGTGGTCCCTACCGCGGTTTGGTCCATCCTCTGTTGGGCATTGGCAGTGTCTCTGAAAGAGAAAGTACCCGATGCCAGTTTTACTATAATCGGTCAAGAGGCATGTCGCCCTGTTCATTACAAATGTTTTTACCCCCTCCTCAATCTTCTGAATGATCTTTCTCTTTGACTTCTTGAAAAAATTGTTTAAGGTACCATCCCAATAGAATTTGCGGTCCTTCGTGCGTAATATTTCTCGAAAGGGGGCCATGACCTCGGCTTGTGAAAATGCGTACGATACCTGGTTAACCAGTCCAAACCAGGATCTGACACCTGTGACAATCGTTGGGGTCGGGAAGTTGAGAATGGCCTCAGTCATTTTTTTGGTTGGTTTAACACTGTCAACCATTATTAAAAAGCTGGCAAATTCGACTTTGTCGCTTGCAAATTGGAATTTCTCAGGATTGAAGACGATTCCATTTCTGCCACAATGGGTGATATAGTCCACTGTGTGCCAGAAAGCCGATTCCATGGTTTCATCCCAGAGAAGTGTGTCGTCGATGCAACGAGTCTTTCGAGGCATGTCTACTGTAATGTCATCAAACTGGTGGGTGTATCCATCCCCTGATGTGTGGAAACCTTGGGCTGCTCTAAGGTACCGATAACATCCCCATTCCATTATGAAGGTAGTTGCGTCTCGGGCCTTTGGGGAGAGTGGTAAACTGTGGTACCCATTCCATATGTCTAGTACTGTCTTCTTGGTCCGAGCAGGCACGACAGAGACCTGGTTAAACGGGGACAGAGTGTGATGGGTTTCCCTCATCATTGCGGCGTTCAATTTCTGCAAGTCCACCGTCTAGGAGACCCATACTTCTTTGGTGCGACCACTATACTAGAACACCAAACTGTAGGCGTGCCTGCCGGCACCGTTTTGATGATGTCCAGTTCAACATCCTTATCCAAGTCCTCTTTCACCTACTTTTTCCAATGATGGGGGACTGGAATGGGTGTGTGTACGTCTGATGGTCTCGCTCCCCGGGCGAATGTTATGTCCAGTGGCCTCCCTGTCATCACTTGTAATGGTTGATGGGGACAAGTGTTGAACACACTAGATTCGAAGTGCTCCCGTAACCATTGTTCTAGGCGTTCCCGATTACTTGCAATAGGGGTGAACGGGACCCTCGCAGATTTACTCAGGACCGTCTCTCTTCAGGGACACCCTCATGGTGCTATCCCGTTATCCATGATCGACGCATCAGTTTTCGACATCTGATTTGGGAAGCCATGAGGGATTAGTTCTAGGTCTTTCAATGCCAACTCTGACAAGTAAAATCCCGATGTGTTTTCAGATACGTAGACAACTCGCCTGGTTTCCTTACGACCGACCACGATACGCGTAAAGATCACACCCTTAATACGCAATAGGTCGTCCATGATTCCACGTATCCTGTGGCTGGTTGGTACTAGCATATCGCTAGTG